CAAAAGGTTGCAGCCGCCTTGTTGGATGGGAGGAGCATTGAGAACGGAGGGGGTGACAATTAATTGGAAGCGTTCCAGGGTAACTTTGATCGGTTGAGTCTGAATGGAGCTGGAATAATATCCTGGAACGCCACCGATTCAAATATTGTGTTGCCCGTGATACCCCGCGTCTTGAGACGGAAGCTTAGCGTCGAATGCCATGAGATGGCACATACAGGGTGCACCAAGACGTACTACTTACTTCTGCAGGGCCCGACTGCCCGGGATGAGAAGTGAGGTGATGGATGATGTGGTTTCCTCTAAGTGGTGCCAACTGCTGGAAGGGGGCACGACATGAGCAACACATCCAATGGAGCCAAGTCCCGTCTCGGAAATCGGCGAGTTATGGTCCATTGACGTCAGGGGCCCCTTTCCGGTGGCAACAAGCGGGAATGATTACATCATGCAAAGGACAGAATACCTGTCGCACTGGGTCGAGGCGACGGCCGGTGCCTAATCAACGGGCGACTTCGATTAGGGGAGTGGTAATGCATCGTCGGCAACAATGGGGTGCCAAAAATGGTCGTAGCCGATCAGGTGCCCTGCTTCAACTGAAAAGAATTTAGAAATTGCTTGCAAAAGTTGGGTATTGGATGGCTAAGGAGGGCACCGTACCACCCGTAAACGAGTGGTCTAACCGTTCTTAATAACCGAACGATCAAGGAGTGGCTGGCGGCCAAAGGAGGTGACTGAGAAGTAAACTCGCCAATTGTGTTGCTAGATCATCGTGCTTCCATACGACCCACCACAGGCAAGTCCTTGTTTATGGCGATGTACGGCCGACATCCGCGCTTTCCGACTGATCAGGAAACTGGGTTGTTGTCAGTGACACGCTGGTCTCCGGAGGAGCTACTAGAAGAAAGAAGGCGAGCCCGAGAAGACTTGATCGCCGTTCATGTTTGGAGTAGAGGGGAAACGGCAAGCGGAGAGCACGAACATTCCCCATATGCGCAAAGGTCAAGTATAAGGACCATCAGAATGCTATAAGGGATTGTGCTGGGATCGCGGAAGCTGGGCAGTCGGTGGCAAGGTTCGTTTGTCGCTGCCGACCGCCGGGGAAACGTCTGTACAATTGAAGACGGTCGAGGGTTGAAAAGAGTAGCTATGACGCAGCTTCGTAAGTGGCGTGATACACCCGAGGAGTGGCCGAATACTCCCGCTGCTGAAGCCGGTCCCAAGGAAGTAAATGAAACTAGGTGGAATGCAAACGATTTTTAAAGGGGGAAGGTGGGTAACGGTGGCTGCTACTGGTGAGGCACGTGAGTAATGTCTTCCCGTTAATCCACTTCGCTTCTCCCGAAAAGTGAGATCTATTACGGAATTTATAGAGTCGCTTTGTAGCACTTGCTTGCATTAGGGTGACAGTCAAAGACTATCCACGCAAGCTCAGGAAGACGCGTTCAAAGAGAAGGCGTATATTTAGTTTTGTAAACAAGATGCAGTGAGGGTTTCGCTCCCCTGCCCAATAGTCTGTAACTGTTCAATCGGCGTTTCTCTAATAAACAACCCCGCAGCGAGGGTCATCTCCCTTTCACAATTAGCAATGGTCGAATTTTTCTCCCAAGGGGAAAAACGTTGCCCCCAAATGTAAAATGACCGAGCTAACGGGGGGGGGGGCAAAAAAGAGTTGCGAATGAAAAGCCCCCGAAACCACCAAGACGGAAAGCAGACAAGTGTGCCTCCGAGGTCCCTTTGGGGACTTGGACCGCAACTATTGGGTCTGCCAACCTGCCTGGTCACATAGTTGTTGGCTCATTTCCCTCGGTGGCGGTGGAGGCGGATTTGAAATGCGCGTCCAGAAACTGCTTTTTCAACAAAATTTCAACATGAAACAGTCAGCCTGCCCGAAAGAAATTTTCATTATCACACTCGCGGAGACCTGGCCCACCTTAGATGTCTCTGACGCGGAGACGGCTGCTCCGTTTTCGGAGCTAAATCAAAATGGGGGAGGGTTCGAGGGGTTGCTTTGTGCTTACACGCCACCCTGCCCATCCTGATCATCCTCTCTGATACCACTTCTGTACCTTTTTGCGATGCACCGTGGATCCAAATCCCGCTGCTGGCGTCCAGTTCCTTCCTTCTCGCGTGCCCTACCAGCATGTAGTCGGACGAGCCGCAGGCTGCCTACGAGGATTTGGCGTCCTCTGGAAAAGAGCTTCCATTTTTTTCGAAATGTTAACTGCAGCAGACACAGATGGGCTGGCATTTCGGAAAATGGGGAACCGCTGTAAATCAGAAATCCGCCAATGGAACATACGAAAACAAGCAACCATTCTAAACATCACTCAGAAAAACAGCTGTGTACTGTTCAAATACATGAGACATCACTGCAGAAACAAGTCATTCATGTTCCCCTTGAGGGACAGAAACGGAGAACCCACGAGTGACCGAACAATGGTACCTGATGTTCACAGAGAACACTATACAGGTCTCTGTTTAGCCCCACCGTCCTCATCACACCCACTCTTGTCAAGGCGTAACTACTAACAGCCTATAACCGACTTGGCCTTCAGGGCGGAGGACATTTGTCAGCTCTTGCACAAGATCAACCCATTCTGCGCGTTGGGGCCCGACAAGGTTCATCCAAGGATCCTGGAAGAAATGTCGTTTAAACTAGCAAATCACCTATAACTCGTGTCGTCAGTCGCTTGACGAAGGCCGCCTTCCTTCCGTTTGGAAGGAGGCGATTGTAACGCCAATCCACCAAACTGGTGATCGACAATCGTGTGGCAGCTACAGGCCTACAACGTGCTGTGCAAGGTGATGGAGTACGCCAAACAAGTTGTCCACTCAGGACGCACGGAAGACGTCACCGTCATCGAGCGTGTCCAGCGACCGCTACTAGAATGGTTGCCGGCCTCAAATCCGTGAGCTACGGAACGCTTCTCGCGATGCTTGATCCTGTAGTGGTCTGGCTACCCAATAAGTTAGTTTACCAGGAGCGTGTGTGGCAAAGACATAAAAATAATAACGCTAGGTTGGGTATACAATAAAAAAGAGGTCAGATGGGACAGACTCACTA